CTGAAACTCATCCAGTGAGAAACGTTCCGCAGGGCAAAAATAAGTGCGATTAAAATGCGTAAATTTTTTTAACGCGTTAATGTTTGTGTAATTAATTAATCTTAATTAACGCGTTAAAGTCCCGGCCCTAGTTTTAACGAAAACCTAATGCCTCAACACCCTGGAATTAACCAATTTAACAAAACTCTTAAAAAAATCACATTCAAAATCTTTTCAATCTAACAAAAAAAACATTTGATTTGGCTAGTTTAGAAATGTATTAATGTATGATTTTAATACATTTGCTAGTTGTTTGAATAGCCGCTATTGAAGGAAAGAAAAACATCAATATGATGGCTATTCGCCAGCTTTTGAACAATATAGCATGTTCTCTAACCCTTAGTTTCCAGCTTCTTCATCATAACATTTTCTAAACACTTTACAAAGTGTTTGAACACTCCGAAAAATGTTTGAAGAAAGTTCACACTGAGCTCATTCAGCTGCTGCGGTCCACTCCCCAAGAGACCGGGGCCCATAAGAGCAGATCTGTTCCCCCTGAAGCCCGTATTATGGCAGCTCTGACGTCACCTTTGTGAACAGAAGCTTTTTCCATCACGTCTCAACACTGCTAACATTGAGGCAGCAGACAGAAAGTGTGAGACATGAAGGGAGGGGTCGAGGGGCGGGGGTGGGGCACACATGGGACATCCTCACCTGTCCATCTCTTCTTTTAGATTTCCTCTCTGCATGTACATTTCTCATATGGTCAGGTTTTAATACGTTGTCACAATATTAATAATTGCATAGAGATTGTAGTGCATTAGAAAAGCCTTCCTAATAGAAATAAATCACAATCATTTTACTGTAACACTCTTGAGGGTAAATGTTTTATTGATTTCTTGCAGTCTATTCATCAATGTTATCTCTTTTATAAAATAATCAACTACTACTAATCCACAATGGTACTTTTTGCTGCCAAACATGTACTGTATCATATTTAGGATATCATTTGTTTCCCAAAAGCATCAAGATATTATGATTTTGATTTTTTATGTTTTAATGGTTTCATTTTTTTCCGACTTATACCTAAATATTAAACCAGAAGATTAAGTCTGCTTTAATTGACACACAAATAAAGTCCCTTCATTTCTAAGAGATGCTTTTAGAAGAAAAAAAACATGATAAACACAAAGATGGAATTTGAATCCACAGGTAAACTAACATTTAAACCATCTTTTTAGTATAAAATACATTTTTTACAGTATAATGTATACTTACTTTCTACCAAAAGGATGTTAAGCCCAAATCAGGATGTATAAAGAATACAACAAATTACATGTATTTAAAAACTGTTTTCGGGGGAAATTCTATCATATGAAATTAGCCTTGTGCTCTTAATGACTCCAACTTTACTATCACACATAACTACACATACGCAACAATAAAACAAAGTACATCCACATCACCCACCTTT